GTTAGCGAAGATGAGATGTTTTATAAAACTGTTTCGATAGTAATACACAAGCACGGGAATTCCCCGCGACCGACTGGCGAACTCCACTTGGAGGTTCCCCTACGGTCGACTAGTACTCCAACGTAAAGCGCCATCTTGCGGCCATAAGCATGCCACAGTTGCTAATAGTAAACAAAAGGAATAATTGAAAATGTACGACGGTCGATGGTTCTTTTTATTTTGTAATTCTTTGATATTTTAAGAATATGTGATTGAAAAGAAAGAAAATGAAATAATTTGGTATTTGGAAAATTTGTTTCTTAAAGAATTTCTGCTTTCAATATCTAAACCTCTCATCTACATCATTAACTTAGCTAAAAAAACTTAAAATTGCTCTGTATAAAACAGTGGTAAGTTCGGGACATTAAATTGAATGATTTAGTGGAATAGCTATCATAATGTTAAAGCATTGAAAAGGTAAAATTGATATTTTTAAACATAATGTATGCATCGAAAATAAGTATTTAAAATTTTACAGGTCAAAAACCACTGCAGTAGGAGGTTAAAAACTACAAACACTGAAGTCTTTGATAAATTCGAAAAAGTGACCTGGTAATAAAACATTTTACTCCATCATGTTTGCCTCTAGAAACCGTCTAGCTCTCGCGAATATATTGCTTCTGTGACATTAATCCAGCGGAGGATATCAAGGTTCCCTTTTTCTAGCGGACCGCTTTGTATAATATGCGAATCATTTGAAGCAAAAAGTTCAAAAGGTTTCGCTTTCATGAATCACTGTAAATAAAAAGGACGTCGTGAATTTACATTTTTCTTCCAGACGAATATTCCGAGATTTGAAAAGAGATCAAGGGGGGATACTGATTTGTCGCCTCGAAAGAAACGTAGCTAAATAACGAAGACGTAGAAAATTCACGGAAATAAAACAATTAATTATTTGATGAAATTAATTTCGTTTTTCAATGAATTCGAAACATGCACTACTGTCTCTTTTTAAAATTTATATAAACCTTGTACACTGAAATATATTATTTGTTCTTGTAATTATTTACACTATTTCCACAATCGCGGTTTCGAGAGGTAGCAATAAAACATCATCTATTGTACATTTATTGTTAATTTTATCGTCGTTATAACCATCATGATTATTCATTTTGTTATCATCTTTATTTCATGCCTTTCCACTCCAAGAACTCATTTTATTAGAAGTAACTGGCTACTTGAATGCAATTTTGTGATGTCATGTTAAAGAATATTAAAATTTTTTTAGAACGAAGAAATTAAAAATTACAAACATTTATTTTTTCTGGAAATAAGGACAATTTTAAAATTATACATAGATATACATAAACCTTAAATCGAGTTGTGGTATATATTATGTGTGTCGCCATAACGGCGCCATTGGAGTGCAAAGGATTGATTTATACGCGCTAAATATTTGAATTAAAATATTAACGAAAATACTATTCTGTTTAAATAATTATTATCTTCAATTCAAATAGTATCAAAGCGATACATCGAAAGGTACTGTGTCGTTTCTGTTAATTTTGTATGTTATATGATACCCTTTATCATACATTCCTAAAGATAGACGTCAAAAAAGCATCGAAGAAAAATTTAAATCGTTTCTCGCGAAATATAAATATACAATGTACTTTGATAATCCGGAGATTACTTTCCTTTAAACAATTTTACAAATTACACTCGCACTGCAACACAAAGATTTGTTATGTTTGTTATAAATCATGAAAGTTTGCCAAACGGATCTCTACTTAAGAGGATCGCGGTAGACGCGTCGAAACGGCTTTTAACGAGTCAAATTTGACACGCGATCGCTCCCCAAAAATCAGAGACGACGAGCTCGTTCCGGCAGGGACTAGAAAAACTCCCGCGAATTCGTAGTTGTCGAGCCATTAGGGATTTCCCCTTCCAACCCCTCCCGGTGGCTCGCTTTCGTACTGATTTCTGCTGGCTCCCAGCGCGACGAAAAATAATCTCTTTTCTTCTCGGTCTCCCCCTTCTGGGCCAGAACGCCCGTCGCGGACGTCAAAATATGACAGCTCTCTCGGGTCACCACTTTCCGCGACAAGAGTTTTGCTGAAGGGGGTTGCGACGAGCGATCATTAAAATAAAGCGGCGCTCGCGACCGCCACACAGTGGTTCAGAATCACAAAAATAGAAAGAGCTCTCAGATTTGCATGAAAATTAATATATAAGAGTTTTTCGGACTGCTTGTTCCAAATCTAATATAAACATTCTAAAATTGCAAACGACTAATTCAATATCGGCGATTTATACGCTAAACAGGTAAAATGAAAATTAGTAAGGTTTTTAAGACCACTAACTTAAATTCAAAATGACGAACCCAAAGGTATTAGATTTGCATAAAAATTGGTATATAAAGGTTCTCGGATCTCTGGCTTAAGGTCAAAATGGCGAACCCAATATGGCCGACCTGAATGCTAAAAAGTTATTAAATTTGCATGAAAATTTGTGTATAAACAATTTTAGGGCCACTGATTAAGAATATAATATAAAAATTTAAGAATTCACAATAGCGGATCTAATATGGTTGTCTTATATGCTATAACTAGACTGCGGATTTTTATGCAAATTCATATATTTATTAATAAAATTAATAAAATAAGAGCTTCGTAGAGGGTTCTTTCAACCCCTAAATACAATAATTCTTATCTTACTTGAGTTTTTGTTATAGTTTTGCATATTAAATGTATTCTATAGTTTTTTGACAATCTAAATTTCCCATAAATGCATAAATATCCGCAGTCTAGCTATAACATTATTAAACATGCATAAAAACATCTTACATAGAGACATTAAACAGATGATTTGCAAATTCAGATTCAACTACAACAGTGAACTGTTTTCCTTCTCGCAGTGGTCGAAAATTCTAAAACCTTCGTCAAACTACTATTTACGCCATTTCTCATTCATTCTTAAAGTGAGATACAATCTTTTAATAGTTTTGTTGAAGCAAAAAATATTATTAAAACATAATTTATTTCTTTTTGTTTTAATGTATTCGAAACAACCTGAATTGTTAAAAAATAATAATTCAGCACTTTCGAAACAATGAGGCCCTTTAACCTCCCCCATAGCCCATGCTTTGTAATACAAGGTTTTATCATATTTAAGGATATAGGAATAAAGATCTCAAAAACATAACAATCAAATATAGATAATCTGAAATTTTGATTTTATTTTCTTATAACGTATACTATAAACAATGCTCCATTCTTTCCTCTAACAGTGATTTCATTAAAGTTTAATATGTTCTACCACCATTTTTCCTAATAAAAAATAAGGAAGAATATTTGAGAGTTTTTTTGCTACATAAAACAAAATTTAACGAATGTAAATTTGTAATTCGAGTTAAAATTTTCAAAAATTGTTAAATAGCCAACTACTGGTATTTTTCAGATGTCAAATGTATTTATAAAAGCCTGTACATACAATACATTGTCTGCACCTTTAATTTCCCACGTAACATGGCTACTGATTACATTTGACATCGTTTCTCGTTATTTCCCGCCGAAACGATTCTCGCGAAACGTTGCTCGTTTCGGAGTAATGAACCGAAGAAATTGTTTACGAGTCAATGCTAAATAAATTCGGATAAATTATGCGGCAACACGATTCGCACATTTGCAGCTTAAGGATTGAGAGTCACTGCGGTACGCGGTTAAGCTGACGGAAACGGTAAATGGTTCGCATCCAACCCCCTCGACGAGACGCTAATTCATATTCATAGGTGTAGCGTTTAGCATTGTGCCGCTCGATTCTCCGGAGAGTTTGCTCGGCGAAGAACGACGAGAAGGAGAAACATCAAGTTACATTAACTTGTCGCATCGACCACACACACAGATTTACCGATCGTGCGACGTTTCCCTCGGCCTTTCAGCTTTCAGAGAAGTACATGGTGTCTCAAAATGGCGGAGCAAATTTAAATAAATTAATATAATGCAGCAAATTTTCAACTTGTAAGTATTCAACACGGTTAAATTATTCTCGAGCTTTCAACGTAAGTCGAACTGCACAAACTGTTGCAAAAGAAACGATAACATTTGCATCGAATGAACAAAAAGCCAGTCCCACATACGAGCAAGGACTTAATATCGAAGACTTATATTTAATTTTTTTTAATGTTAAAAATATGTGTTTGTAGCAATAGTTTATTAATTTTATTGCAATGACATATACATATATCACCCCTTCCTTTATCTATTAATTAATTAATACAATATGTATTGTATTGCATACTAAAATTACACAACAGAGCGTTTGCCCAGTACTGTACATAAATTCGTAAAGCTTTCCGTAAAATATTATTTTTAGAAATGTAATCATTATATTGTAATGTCTGACTAAATTTTAATAAATTTTGTATTTATAATTTTATTATAAGTGTGTTTTTTTAAAAATCTTTAAATAGTTTAAATCGGCAAGATGCACCCGCCATCTGTCTGTACAGTGTAAAGTTAAATTACTAGGGGTATGCGAGATCTCGAAAATATCGACTCGAAACGAGATAACGTTTTTACACAAGATCGAGACGAGTCCTCGAAAGTGTTTTATCAATCGGGAATATTCAAAATCTCGAAAATCTTCGGATTTTCGAGAGATATCTATGACAAACTGGACCGTTAAGGTTAAGAAGAAGAACGGTTAACCGAACGAGACTGTTATCAAACAACGTACGTAAAGACAATAGCATTTTTACACGTGAATTGGAAATAAAATATTATATAGTTATTTGTATACTTGACATTTATCTTTTTATTTCTGTAATCATTCATTTGAGTTCATGATATTTTTGAAACCTCGCACATTCCTATGAATTACATTCCACTCCGTAATATTAGGAAAGTAGTGACTATCATTAATTAGGGAAAGGGTAAAGTAGTTAAATGGTACATATTATGATATATCAACACCACTATTTATACTATAGTTTCTATAGTAATACTTTAAAATGGTGTTGAAATAGTAATATTTATTAAATGCTTGTATTTTTGTGTATAAATTGAAATATATAAATCAAATAAAAAAACATAAATTATTCTCAATAAAAGTGAATCATAATACAAACGTATCACCGAACCAGGCAATAATTTAGTAATAGAATTACATGCCGCTTTCGTTTGTTGTGGCTTTTACATTAGGTTTTCGAAGATGGTGATAATTAGGTAAAAATTTTAATAAGAATTCTAGTTGACCTATCTGAGGCTAAAATAAAGAAAATATAATATTGACAGATTCTATTAATATATAATTAATAACATCGTCAAGAATTTAATAAACACTTACGTATGGTTTATCGTACATTTCTCTACGTTGACACTGGCTACCATATATTACAGTGTTTTCAGGTATTACCTCGGGTTCTGTTACTGTACATGCTGCTCCTATGACACAGCCATTAGTCAATTCAACATTACGACCAACGAATGCTGAAAATAAAAAAGTAATTTGAATAAAATAAATGAATAATAAATGAGTTTCCAAATATTGTTTAATACAACAACCTTTGCTTTCTAAAGTATTGTTATCCCCAACTTTGAGTGCTTCACAAGTACAATCTGTTTCGAACACATTATAACTACCAATTATTTGTACTGGAACTGTTGTAGGTTCAGGCGCACCTGGTGGTAACCTGCAATAAAGCAAACATTCTATTCCAATAGAAAGAGAAAATCAAAGTCAAGCTAGAAAATCGTAGATATACATCATTACCTGTTTGCTATCGTTGACATTTCTTCAATAATGTTCCCTTCACCTATTATAATTGGGCCAGCCTCTGCAATGATATAGGCTTTCGGATGAATCACCGTTTTTGGACCGATGGTGATGTCCCCTTTTAAAACACTTTCGTCGCATACTACAGCACCAGCCAATATCTTCAAACTAGGTAAACACACAAAAATAAAACGTATGTCTTCTTTACAAACACATCGGAAGAATTATATACATTAGATATAACCTCAAAAAAAGTTCATGATTTACAAACAAGCTTTAACGTTTCAATTTTGAATATATATTTAAACATTTTTGTAAGCACACAGCCGATGAATAAAATTTAAATAGTTTTAGCAGAATTAGTTAATTTTCTCACTTTGAACGACGACTAGATGAACTCATCGCTAACAGCTAACATGGACTGACAAGCGCATAAACACGCCCTCTTTAATGATTTCTAATGAATTACATGCTCTAAATATTGTTAATGACTCTATTATTGAAACAAATTATTAACGACACAGTTTGCAAGTTTGAGCATTAAAATTATACGAATACTAGAAATATTCGATTCCGATTCAATTAATGAAGAAACTGATTTTTTCGGATAAAAAGTCGATCTTATGAATCGATTATCTACTGACAAGTTTTATTTATTCCAAAATTGTATAGCTTATTTACAGAGTTACATAATATAATTTATTACTAATTACTATTATTTGAATTACAAATTTATTATTAAAGCTGTAAAGTTTCTAATATGTAAGTATAAAAAAAAATTTGGATCGATTCTTGCAAAATCAATTCTTTGATTCTTTGAGAGAATCGATACTCATAATTCGATCCAGAAATGATTCTTTAAAGAAAATTGAATATCTCTATCGAGTACATTGTACTTTATTTTTATATTTCTTTCATTTAGAGATGGACAAGATTCTCATCTAGATAAATATTTTGCGTTACGAGTACGAATAAACAATTTTTCAAACGTTTTAAATAAAAATAGAATTTGAATTGTAGTTTAATAACTTGAATCAAATAAATCTAACGAAAACATAGAATGAAATTAAGGAAGAAGAAAATATAACGTACCTTAGACATCTTTAATTTTTCAATATACACTTATTAAATTTAATAATATTTCTTACCACTTGCTGCTAATAAACTTCTTAGGAAATGTTGATCTCTGTAAAATAATAAACTTATTCTTATCTTAAATTAATTATCTTCTACAAACATCATAATATGACATAGTTTGAATAGTTATTACCATTACTTTCATATATTTGTACAGCATCAATTAAATGTAATTATAAATTATAAAATTTTAACGAGTATTAAAATTAAATAAATAATTTTAACATAACGAACTTAATTCTGGATAATCCTCTTACTTTTAGATAATTCTGGTTTGCGCTTATGAAAACTGTCGAATATTTACGCGGAAAATTTAGATTTTCATTTAACGATTAACCAATGAATGAGTATTCAAGTTATTTTAGGGAAATGAAAATGAACTTAGTCAGAATGAATTATAGATTTTGATTTAGGCTTGAGTATTTCACACTAGTCAAAAAAACTGTGTGATTCATCTAATTGTTATGAAACTTTATTTAAAACCTGAGTTTAATGCCCAATGAATACTTTAAGCTTCATCACTCTTAGATTCTACGGTCTTACGTACACAAAATAATTCGTACAAAATATATGGTTAAAATTTCAAGTGAACATCGTCGGTGTTTTTGAAATAAGTAATTCGTGTGAATTAGCTGAAATACGGTAACAGATTTATGTTTGACAGTTTTCGCAACCCTGTGTGTGTATTATAGAGTGTACACTCGAATTTAAAAAGATCGACTAAGTCTTCATTTTCATGGTTACATTGTTCCTTGGAAAAGAACATTTTCACAAGAAAGTAAAATTCGCGAGAAAACAAGCCCGCAAGAATATTGTCGCGAAAGGGACCGGAAATGTCGTAGGAAGGATCGAGATAGTCGAGGGATCGAGGATTGGGGCGAGTCGATAGCACGTGAACCGCGCCACCCTAAAAAAGATACGCTCCCACACTTTTATTATTACTTTTTTTTTTAATCGATATTTAATATAACTCTATATTATCTGTCAACTTTTATTTATTATATATATATTTTTATATATTATATATTATAAAATTTAACTCCAAATTGCGATAATAACGTCTAATTGCAACGTGCGTGCGCGTGTACGTGTTGCGCCTTTGTGTGTGTGTCTGTTTTGCATTTTTATTTCTTTAATTCTCTCGCTTTCTCTCCCATCACTTTCTCTCCTCCATTCGTTTCGTTTTTTTTATTATTTTTTTTTGTATTTTTTTTTTTGTTTTTGTTATTTCTCTTAACCGTCCCTCGGTTATCTCCGACGTGTAACTATGTAAGTGTGTACGTGTTCCTGTATGAGTGTGTCGGTGTACACGTGTGTGTGTGTGTGTGTGTGTGTGTGTGTATGTGTGTGCGCGTCTGTACGCAGTGTACACATGGGTGGGTGGTTGTGGGTGAACGATTACAGGTGGTAATGTATCTTGCACTCGCGCGTACGTGACTGTGTACGTGTTTTATCTACAGTTAAACGAATTCTACGCACTTACTCGTTAATCGGCAGAATAATATGCATTTCTTAATTTCGCTATAAGTATTATTTAAACCGTCCGAAAACGTGTCAGTCGGCGCACCGTGACGGATTCGCCATCGCTCTCGTCGAGCCCTCTTCTTATTCCACTTGTTTTTTCCCCCTCTTACCATTCGCCCTTTGCAATTTCCGCGCAACTTCCTCGCAGTTTTCACCCCTGTCGTACCCCTCCACGCTTACGCATCCTCACATCACCCTACGCGGAAACTACTTCTTTCTGCCATAATCGTGTCTAACGTTTCCTCTAATTTTTCCCGAATATCTCCCTTTGTGCCCCCTTTTCTTCTCGATACGTCGCTCGACTCCTTCGATGGATTCGAAGTGATGATTAAAAAACTGGAATCCCTGAAGCGGCTTAGCGCGTCCAAGGACCGTTGTCAACGGTGACACGTTCGATGCTATGTGAGACGACCCCGCGAATACGTAAAAAAAAAAAAGAAAAAAAATAATATCTGCTTGATACCTGACAGTCGCTGTTCCACGGGACCTTTTCGGCCCCGCCGCTTCAAGGATCCAGCATCACGCTAAATTACAATAAGAGAAGAGAATAGAGCTCTTTTTCTCGTTCGAGCCGCGGACGATACTTTACGGTGAAACTTATCTAAAAAACGTTGTACGTTCTATCGGCTACGGTCACGCTACGCGGTCTCTGCTAAGCTGCGCTCAAAAACTGTAGGGACACTTTACTGTAAAGTATCGGCCAAGCTCGCGGTGCGCTACAAAAACCTCCAACTTAGCGTTAAAACTCGGCTAATCGACGTTCTCGAGTGCCGGGCGTTCGTGCGCGCGCAGAAAGGACGATATAGTTGAATAAGCGGCGCGCGCAGGTAAAATTAAACTCTGTATCGTGACCTCTGACGGACATCTTTTGATCGAACATTTCGAATCTGTCTAAGCTCTGCTAACCTCGACCGTTTGATTTCAATCAGTACATTTGTAAACTAAGAATTTCGTCGATCCTCGCGATTCGTTTTATTTATTCAACTATACGACATTATCTGACTAATCGACGCGACTGTTCGAGCCGCGAAGAACGTGTCGCGACGCAATCCAGCCCCCCACGGGGAATTCGCGACGAAACGGGTGTTCCCCGTGTCCTCGAGATGAGCGATCTATCGCAACGGAGCTAGAAACTCGTAATCCATATAGAAAGTCGAAAACGCCGGGAATTCCTCCCCCTAAAAACAACGCGCCGCCCGATCACTTTCGTACTCTAAGCGTCTAACGATAAATCGCCAACAATATCGGTCGGTCGCCGGTTCGTATCGCGCTAGAACCGGCGAGCCCTACGCAACTAACTAACGTGTTTAACCGTGGAATCGTTGATCGCGTACAAAAAACGGACTTAACAGCGAAGTGAAACACGCGGCCGCGACAAACGACGTCTCTCGAAAGGGAAAACTATTGGTCGTTGATCGTCATGACATTGATCGGAATCCACGAAGTGTCTCTCTCGGTTCGAGCACTTGCCCAACCACTAAATCAACGCGATTTCTGGCGAGCACCTTTCGTCGATGGATCTTTCGCAGTAATCCCGAGCGTTTCGATCTTCGTTTTTGCGACGACGAAAGCGTTGGATCATGAACTTCCAACGATACATTCTCTGCTTCGTCCTTTTCGTTGGGCCTTTTGTCCAATCACGCAGATTAGTTATGTTCTAAAACGATTTAGGATAGACTTAATTGTTTGCGCTGTTAGTGTTATCGGTGAAATTTCTAGTTTCTTTCGAGTACCTTTTATCAAGCTTACACGATGTATTTAAAGACAGAGGGGCTTAGACGACACTTGGTACTAAACCAGTACGGTATCTCTTAAATTAATATTTACGTTGCTAAAATCTTCTTAGTTGTAGAGGAAAATGGAACGGGATACGGAACGATAGCGCAAACGATTAAATCTCGTGTCTTCGAATACTATGATCGAGTGTTAATCCCAGTATTAGATAGAAAGATCGATGCGTCGACTGTGGATAAAAGTGTCATGTACCTATGTAATCAAATTTCTTAAATATGCTAAACTAAATTATTCGTTAATTTTTTAGTCAATTACAGCATCCCACGTTTTACAAAATTACTGTATAGAGTGATTATAGAAACTAGAACAAATTGTAGTTGCTCTTCTCTAAGGAAAATTGTTTCTCCAAATTCGTAGAAGAAAAGGTTATATCTCACATGTGAGGCCATCTTTTGATGATATGAGTTTCTTTTTTTGATGAAACGGTGCAAGTTAAAATTGAAAAAGAAAATCTGAGAGAATAAAAATAAAATTACATGTAACGACGTATATACAATTTGTGAGATTTTTTAATAGACACAATATATTTATAGACATTTATTTTAATCGATGAAACGAAAGTTGAAATTAATGATGAAATCTTTAAACACATTTTTTGACGTAAAATATGAAATATCTTGTTAAATATGCGTTTTCAAAGGTCATGTTTTAACAATTTTATATACGAAATAATGACAAGAATTGACTTATGTAAAGAGCGTATAATACATTTGTACCGTTACAGCAAAGAAAAAGTTTACAAAAGTATGGCTCTGTATGGGAGATTCAACTTCTTGCTCTATGAATTATTGATGTCATCGGCTTTATTTATAGCTTGTTAAATGTAAAACCAATGAGTAAAATATTGATATTTATCAAATGGCTTTAAACTATCTTACTAAAACTTCGATAGAACTTTCTCTGATCTGTTTACTGCCAATTTAAGTTTCACAGTGAATCAATTGAAAATTTGTTGCATGCTGTATAATGATGAGACCGATCCAGTGACATAGTCATTAACATTGATACGTATCAAATTTCAAACATAGTCTTGAGATACGAAATAGATAAATAGTATTTAAACATCAAGTATCATCGATACCTCGATAAGACAATGATGTAGCTAGTCTACTATCAGAATTGTAGATTATTCGAATACCTAAAAACAGATCGATAGTTAGGCAACTTTCTATTATTTTTCTTGTAGTAAATTTGCACGATTTTTCACTTTTAAAGATCAATAAATTAATTTTGTACAAATTCTGTGTCTTAAGTAAAGGTGGTATTGTCAAAAGACGAAGTCGACTTGACGATTAAGATAGTGGGAAAAATTTGATTAAATTACTATATTGTTCAAGATGAAATATAATACAAATGGAAATGTACTGTAATAAATAATTTTAAATGTATAATATTATTTATATTTACAAATCATCATTTTAGAATAATTATTGTTATTGTTGCATTCCATGTATTTGTTATTTCTCCTTAAATCTGAAGGGACTAAAACTTCTAATAAAAATCACTTTCTAATCTTAAAATTTTCGAATATCTCAATAGCTTTTTTCTCGATGAGTTAAAAATGTAATTAAACAAGTATCAAAATTCGAATATTATTATTCGAATGAGAAAGGTTATACATTTGCATTATATATACATAATAATTGCGGTTATCTTCTACCTGTCCTGTTAAAATTATGTTAATACTTAAAGTGGAAAGTAGAAATGGTATTTAGTATTCTTTGAAGAACACGGTACTCTTCGATGAAAGTCTAAAGTAAGAAATACCAGACATTTTGAGCGAAGTAAACGGATAAATATTATTTTATTCAACGTGTGAGTATTATATTTCATTTTTGTAAGTAAAGTATAGTCTTAAGGAGTGCATACATTTACGTTAAACAAAAACTAATTTTTGTTCCATTTGCTCGTGAATAATTAAATTTTTTTATAGATAAATAACTCTGTTAATTTAGAAAAACATTTATAATTAATTTAGTCTTTTTAATTTTTACAGGTGGTCCGCAATTTATTAAGCATTCAAATAGTATTCGAACAGTTAAATATTCGAGTAGTCAAGTATTCGAATAATATTAGAATTCGAGAAACAAATAATTTGAGAAGAAGTTCTAGCTATGATCTCAATAAATACTAAATCGTTTAAAAACATTCTTTAAAATTATTCATACTTGTATATATATATATATACCTAACGTATTCTTCTGTTTACTTAATCAAATACATAAACATTATTTTCCTTTCTTCGTCTCTTTCATTCTGCACCAAAAGGGATTTTCTCCGTTAGAAAAATAAATAAACAAATGGTTTAAAGAATTATAATTTGAAACATAATATCTTGGTATCGATGATGTCAGACCATATTTCAGTCCCATCACTAATGCCGCATTTAAACTAAAGTTATTTGTTCGAGCAACACTGCAAGAAGATAACTCGCACAATCTCCTACATAGTTTTTCTACATACATCTCTATATAGCATTCCATATCCGTGTCTAAGTTTTGTCACTGGAATTCGTTGAAAGACGTCAAAAGAAACGCGATAAATGAATTTTATATCATCTAATAAACCATAACGTCGATTTATAAATCGTGTGAGGCATTGCTGTACTGTAATCGAATTTTTTGAATTTCGAGACGAAAGAACATGACTGATAAAATTCTACCAAACTAAAAATCGCTAAAACTTTAAAAACCACTTTCTCAATTTTCTAAATATTAAATCTCAAGGTTCGTCGATATTTTCGATTCCACAGCACGTAAACGCATCGAGGATCTAGAACGTGAAACGATTCACGTTCTCCAGGATCAGATCGAGCTCGATGTCGCCAGAAATCGGATTGAAGCTCGTCGTACACGCATAGATGACCAGCCCACCAGCATATCCGGCCGACGAAAGCGAGGAAAGCCGGTAACGGTGCGTAAAAAACGCTTCGAGAGGCTTTTCACCGCGGCGATGGATATTATTATTTAGTTAAGAAGTACGTGGTTTACGTATAAAGAGACGCGTCATACAGTGCCGTACAGTACCAAAACGTTTATAATGCGCACATAATGTTACCTCGATTAAACCTCTATCTACGCGCTCGCGCAGGCTCGTGTTATGTAAAAGTATCGTTAGTCGTTTAGTCTCGCTGCGGGTGTGTGTATATTATGTGTGTGTATCCGTGTAACAGTGTTCATTTTCACGTGTTGCGTCCGTGAGCCGGCCAGATCGGTCCAAGGACAAAATTCGGTTATTTTTCATTTATTCTTTTTTGTTTCGTTCGTACTGTTGTCGCACGTTTCCCTAACGTTTCTTGTTTCGTGTGTATGTTTCTTTTTTTTTTTTTACTCGCTGTGCCGTCATTTTTTTTTTTTTTGTCCATTCTGTTTCTTAAATTCCATGTTAAGCGCGCGGGGACCGTCGAATCTCGGTCGTCCCGTCGCGAACGTGCTTCGTTTTTCGCCCTTTTAATATGTATATATATTATCATATATACGCGTGTGTGTTTATACATATACAGTCTAAAGTAGCTCAGAGGGAACTATGCGAACCACTACCGCGAAGTCGGACGATCGGGCCTAGCCGGATTCGCGACGACCTTCGCGCCCTCTGTCGTTCGTCTCACGACGGTTCACGCATGCGCGGCGACAAAGGGTGCGAAATTTCAACGCGACGTCCGCCCTCGACCCGTCGGCCCTTCGTCGACGCTATTTCATCGGGTTATAATTCTCTTTTGCACCATTTGCGGTTTAAATGTATTTCGGTTTCTATGTCGCGAGCAACGGTCCGACCAAAATTCTTCCGTACACGTCAGTCCCTCGGGTGTATAGATATATACTATATATGTGTGTATATATACGTCGTCCGTGGATCGTTCTGGCGGGGCCCTTTAACCACATTTTTTTTGCTTTACTTTAATTAATACAATATATACTTTTTTTTATGTATGTATCGTAACAACCGATATTTTCAGTTCCTTCTCGCTCTTTCTTTCTCTCTCTCTCTCTCTCTCCCTCTCTCTTTCTATCTATCTCTCTATCTCACAACCTCACACGCTTTTCTGTCTCGTATTCTTCACTACTTACACACGCAACTTCCTTTCGCTCGCTTATACTTCTATTACCTGTCGTCTCGTCTCTCTTTCACGCGATTATCGTTTCTTACTCTACCACACGCGCAGGCGCTCTGTTTCTCTCGCCACTCGTACGCTGGATTTAATTATCTAGCTCGCACGCACACAATCACTCTCTCTCACACACACTCACACTCTCTCTCTCTCTCTCCCTCCCTTTCTTTCTATATATATATAATATATTTTATATCTGTGTGTATATATATATGTATGTATATATATACTTCTATATATCTTTCATATATACTTTATGTTGCTTTTTTTTATGTATACTTTATATATATATAACAATGTTATGTTTATTTAAGGCCCAATACGTTCATTACGAAGGAAATAATCTGCAACAGAAAGGAGACGAATATACGGTTAAACGCTTGTACCTCTTTTGCTCCCTGTCGTAAGCACCGCGAGTATAGAACTATTCAGTCAATGACGAGTCGTGTTTGCTTTTCAATATATTTTCTTTTTTTTTCTTCCCTCCGCTGCGGCGTCACCCGCGGACGCGACGTCTCTCATCGATCGAGGCTAAAAGAACGCAAGTAGATGGGTCCCGGCATGGTCAGACCTAAGTGGAACGCGTCGTTCTATTCCAGACTTTAGAGGAATTCAAACGTGTGGTGACGGTTCTCGTGCGACGAATTTAACGATTTACTTTTTCTATTCTCGATCTCTCGTTTATTACGACGATCTCCTAGGGGTTGAGAAGAATGGTAATTTTTTTCGTGAATTTTGATATCGATCTTCATCGGTGTACAAATAATTTTCTTTTATTATTCAGAGCTCTTTTGTACTTTTCGTTTATTTTTCTCTTTTCGACTCCGCGATCGTACCCCCGCGAGAAATTGAAGGGACATTATTGCAAACGCTCCGGCGATCATCCATTACCGTTCTGTTTGCCTCGACACGTCCATTCCCCTACGCTTTTTGTCGCATTTTTCCTCCCTACGATCCTGCAAGTGTTTCTTTCGCACGCGCTCCGTTCGACGCTCTCTAGGAAGGAATCGCTCTGGATCAGAAACAAGTAACTTTCGACGCTTAGAAAACATGTAACTCGACGCGTTTATTCGCAAGAGAAGCCTACCGGGTTCTTAAAAATTAAAAACCCATTCAGAGGACCCGACGAATCGATCGAGAAACGAGAAATACGTCTCACGGTTGGTTCTGCGCAATTCTTTTATACAATATGTACAAGCGTTTGCGCGTCGCACGCAATTCTATTTGAATAAAAAAACTGCGTAGTAATTTATCACGACGATTACGGTAAAATTGAATTCTGGAATAAGTTCGATCGACATTCAGTGTCGTTGAATTACGCTCGTACGATCCTTACGATTGCTCTATAAATACAGACATTCGTAGGTTAAAAAACGAATCATGAAGTAACAATTAATATCGCTTATAATACTTTATTATTTGTTACAAAAAGGTTCGTCCTAAGGGGACGTTTAAAATATAATTTGATTCGTATATTTCTTTCTTATTACGTGATAATAAATTCGATCGAAGAACCTAAAAGTAGCATTTAATGTTTCCGCCGAGAAAATATTAAGCTGCGAATAATAAGTTAACGTCTTGCCGATATCCTCGATAAGAACCCAAATGTATAAACGAAACGATATAAAAACCCAGTAGACTGTTCTTTCCGCGTCGTTTCGTGTTTCGTTGCTCGATAACCTCGGTTTCCTCGAGCGAACCCTGCATTTTTCTCTCAGAAACTTCCAAAGGTAACTTTCACTTAACGAGTACGACTAATAAAACATTGCAGAAAGAAAGAAAAAAAATATTAAAACTTAACACGAATTATCCTATCGCATTTTGTACACGTGAAAGAGAGAAAAGAACGAAAGCTTTCAAAACGAAAAAGAAAAAAAATAAAAATAAAAGGAAGAATAAAATAGATTATGATAATCGTAATGATAAGAAGAATTATAATAATAGTAATAATAACATTAACATTAATAATAATAGTACTAGTAACGCAGTTTCTGACCGAAAAAGTACAAGTTACGTGCTTTCCATACGAACAAACGGAAACGAGAAGTAATAAAAATAAACTTACAACAAATTGCGGCTAATAGAAAAAGTAAGAAACGTTGAAACGAAGACACAGTTACTTGTTTCTCGCTCGATAGGCGGCTTTTCATAGCCGGTTCGCTTGCGTCTCGTTTAAGATCCGAAATACCGAGCTTCGACAAAGTCAGTTGTCCGGGCAATTGTGTGAAAATCGGGTTACGCTGGTCTTACAGATTAGAGTAAGATTTCATCATCTCGGTTACGAAATAGCTTTTTCGCTCCATCGTCATACATTTTCGTAAATATATATAGACGACGACACGACAAACGGAACATATATGTACAATACTGCGTGACATAACAACAACCGTCTTTACGTCGAGATGTTCGATCGGTATCGATCGTTCGAGGATCTTAAGTCGTGCGGAATCGAAGGGCTTGAAGGGAGATCGTGCGAGCGACGAGCGAAAAACGAGAACAAGATATCTCTGTCTCATCGTGCCAGAGATAGCAGACGTTTGTACTTAAAAATAAAACGTGGTTCCGTTTAAATTACAAAATTAAAAACAACGAAACTGCGACGTTAATCAATTTACAAATTCCCGTGTCCGAGGATGAGTCCTCGTCGTTTGGTTTTCTCGTAAAACGTTCGATCCGTTTAAAGCTAAAGAAAAAAAATAAAAATAAAAGACGAAAGTACCTAAGTATTAATAGTACGATGAAGAACGTCTCGTCTGTGAGTTTCGCGCGAACGAACGCGAAAATGAAAGTGAAGACGAAACGACGGGGCTCTGTCGTGGCGCGCACCGCCGTTCTCCGCGCCCTTCGACCATCGATCGGCCCTAAAAATGCCTACGCGACACTTCCTAGGTAGCGTCGACGCGACCACTACCGTCCTCGACGCGCGTCGCCTTCTCCGTCGTTTCCTTTCCGGACGGTGGAACTCACCTTGACAGAGCAAGGCCCGGCGCTACTCGCGTACCGCTTTGTTCGTCAGCGTCGGGACGCCCTGCGCCACGTCGATCGTTCAGCTGTCGACGCTGAAAAGCTCTTTGTGGAGGGCCGGAAAGTCGAGGTGCGGCTGCGACCGTTTTAGCTTGGCGAGGGCGTCCATGTGCAGCAGAGAGATCTCCCGTAGCTGGGGGATCTTCGCCAGGATCGCGTCGCACACCGTCACGTCGCCCTTTATGGGCGACACGTGATTACGGTCGAGCTCCGACCTGAGCGCCCTGATTACCGCCTGTGACAGTCTCGTGATTTCCGCGAGCCCTTTCAGTCCCGGCCGATCTGAAATATTTTTTGCCATTTTTCCATCTTCTTTTTCATTTTTTCAATGAACGTTTGCTGCGAGCAGCTATAGGGACACTGATGGTCGGTTGATAACACCGGGGCGGTGGTAATACTGTAAATTCAATTGCTGCAGGGAAATTGGGACTGAGAATTCTTGAAATATTCCCACGCTATTACACCCAATCTTACTTGATAGATCGTACAATGATAGATACAAAGGAGGCTGTGCTGACCATCAAAACTTTAATATTTCTATTTCTATTTCTAATTTATAGAGCAATCTATGAGATTAAACTCTGTTCACTTAACAGCGTTACTTACAGAAGTTGTAGGGTTTAAGAAAATACCATAATATAGTACAAATAGTATTTTTTTGCAAGTGGAGGGCCTAGAAAAGATGTGAAGATCCAATTTTTTATTTTGACAGATTGGCGTATTTTGAGTATAAAAATACTATAAAGTATGTGTTTGTCCCAAAACTTAACTTTTTTGAGATATTACATTGTTTTCATCCTATTACTTTTGTGAAGGCTTAACTATTGTTATAGAAAGAACTGAACGAGATAGGAGGAAAGAAAGTAGAATAATCAGTAAGGCAATCCTAGCAGGCCCTGCCTTAGACGCCGAACCATTTAATACCTAATCGAGGAGTCTACATATAAAAATAGGTGATCGGTCAAGTACTTGCGAGAGAGCGTAGCCCTCTGGTGGCGGTTACGGTAAGTGTCGCCACACTTTCATTATGGCGCGTTATAATCCTTAATTAGTTCACATCGGATTAAGCATTTGCAGTTAGCAAAAGTAACGCATTACGAATTCTTGTTGCAGATATCATCCTCATCAGTGTGATGTATAGTCTCCATTATAATTTACATGCCATGGATTATGTAAACCGTGTTAGATTTAGTGTACGGGGCTCAAGAGCAGCTACAAATCAATCCAAGTTTCATCTCTTTGATACTATTTACCAATGAGGCTACTTTTACCAACACTAAACGTGTTAATTTACATAACATTATTGGCGAATGCAAAATCTTTACTCACTACGAGAAATTGATCATTAAAGACGCTGGTCTACCAAATAAGCCTCACTTAATTGACAACATTATTACTAGTCAAAAATATAATACGTTCTTACGAAGTACATTATGAAATTGATTAGAAAACGTATCATTAAGCATTTGTCAGACAATGTGGTATCAACACGATGGATGCCCAACATACTATGCTCGAAAGATGAGAAGTACACTTAATGAAATATTCTTTAATCGATGGATAAGATGCGGAGGCACTATTTTCTGGCCAGCACAAAGTCCAGACTTAGCACCCCTAGATTTTTAATTGTAGGGAGTATTGAGAAATGTGTATGAAAATATACCAACATCTCCGGAAGATACGAAGCAACGAATTATTGCAGCGTGAGCTACAATTGATACTCCAACAATAAGACATGTAAGGGGCGGAACGGTTCAAAGACTATAATCGCTGCAGATGGCTGCCATTTTGAACATGCTTCGTGAAAACAGTCAAATATTGCAAGATAAGTTTTAGGACAAACGTACTTCAATATTTTTATACTCAGAATACGTCAATCCGTTTGTACTCCTCTACGCCTCCATTTGTAAAAATACCATTTATACCATATTACGTACTTTTTTAAACCCCTACAATTTCTAATATTTTCTTGCACTGTTTGAAATAATCAAAATATTTAAGTGGACAGAGTTCGTGAGACACTGTACATATAATAAATATTAACACAAGTTGCAGGTATCACATGCCATCTATCATACTTAGAATAAATATCTGTATAATGAAGGAAGTAACTTTTTGTTATTCAAAAGTTAAATCTTCTTACTACTTTAAAATTGTAATTAAATGCTCTTATAGCAAATGCAATCGTTCTTTATTGTTTTAAATCTTTAATTTAGTATTTCAAAAGTAAAGTTCAAAAGTGCAGTCTGGAACAATTGTAACGGTAGTCGGGATCTTTACTTTTTATTTCTAATTTATCATCGTTCTGTACTGAAACATTAATTTTGTCTTTTTTCATTAAAATTTAGTTTAATAACTATGTCGATTTTCTAAAATTAGACTTGTGTTATTATCGTCCCCATGCTTATAACATTTTCACCACCATCTCTATTTAATAACGCAAGTATTCCTTGGCACATAAAAAAGTGATTGTAGACAACACGTTTTTATATAATCCTACATCGAAATGTTACAACCGTCATCAGTCTCCCCTATGGATGGTTGGATCGAGTTTGAAAATTACTGCGTAATTTGATGATACGTAGATCGAATCGTTTGGAATATTATTTGAAATCGAAAATTTTTTAAAGTCTTGATAATTAGTACTCAAGGGATTATTCTAGCCCACAACTTTTAAAAAATGAATTTCTTTCATACTAGAATATCCTCTTAAGAGTTTTAATATTGTTGAACTATTGATATTCAGTTTTGTATTGACATTAAACATTAAATTCTTTCAATATCATCAAGACTTTCAAGACCCTTGAGACTCCAGAATTACAAGATTCTTAAAGTTTGAAGTCTTACAAGAGTTTCTGGATAATCAAGATATTCGAAACATTCAAAACTTTCAAGATTTATAAAGCATTCAAGGCATTTAAAACACTTCAAGCATACCAGATTTCCAAGATACTTAGTACATTCAAAACATTAACGACACTCGAGTCATTTAAATATTCAAGATATTGAAGGTATTTAAAAACTTACAAGATAATTACAGTGTTCACGCTTTAAATGTCTAATTACTCGGGATCGAAGAGTCACATTTAACGTAAAGGGAGAACGTTCTTTGTGTTTCATCGTTCGCTTCGAGTGTAGAAAGAGATGAACAGTGGTAGCAAGCGAAGGATAAAGATGAACTGAGGATACATGTACAGTAAAAGTTACGATAAATGCCTGAACTGATCTACTGCATCAATGCTCTGTGTTCATCCCCACCATCTATTTCTCTTTTACTCTCTGTCCTTTACTATGTTCGACAATTGACTTTATAATTAGGACCATTTCTATAATTAAAATCAATCCATCTACTCCATAAACTAGTTTGGGGTCCCAATTTTCGTGCATATATCTAACTTTTACTGTAGTCAACAATATCCGTATCAGGCAATGACGTTCTTGTTCAGATTCACGTTTATCATTAGCCAGAAACGAATTCCAGAGTCTCACGACATTTTCACATTTAACGTAAGGTTCTTTTTCACATTTAAGGTGAGAACACTATAATACGTTCAAGATATACGTTCACCCATCAAGACATTTCAGGTGTTCAGGATATTCGAAGCATCCAAGTCATACAGAGCATTTCAAGGCATTCAGCATATTTAAGACATTCAAGGAATTTAAGGCATCCATGAAATTCAAGATATTCGAGACATTAATACCACTCAAGGTAGTTCAGGCATTCGAGGAAGTTTGATTTCGAATAATATTCGAACCGATTCGACGGTACGTTCTAAATTATTTATACGTTGCTTCTCTGATAGAATAATGACAATGTTAAACTGTAGAAGAAATTTTATTTTACAACTTTAATATCTTTATTATTGGCCTTCTATTTCTTATTTTTGATAATAGTAAATTATTCCCTATGTAACATTTAAGCAAAAAATTGAGAAAAAGTCTTTATCAATATTTAATTTCAATTAATTTGATTATTATTAGAATTTATACAAGAATAAATTATCTTGTTTGGTCTTTTTGTATTACCAAATACTTTCATTACGTGTAAATATATATTACGCCAGAAATTAAGTAAAATTTTCATAAGGATTTTCTTTCCAGTCTCGTACGTAATTGTCTAAATTAAGCTTCTATCGAACATTGTTATTATTCTATTCGTAATTATACATTCGAAGCGATGAATCGAGGTAGGTTAATTAAGTCAACGTATTAAAACCAGGAAAAGAGTCCCATTAAAAATAGATATATGTACAAGTTATTTTGAAATACAGGTTCCTTAAATATAACACAGTTGAAATTGATTTTCAAAATTGTTCCGATTCTTAAGTTCACATTCAATAAATAAATTACATTAAAATGATTGAATTTAATAAGGAAATATCATAAGGACTAAATATTTTAATATTTTTTTGGTAACAGATCTATAAATATAAGCTCAACGAAAAGAAATACAAAAAAAATAATACAAAAATAATGAATAAAATTATTCTTAATTTTATTATATTTGATATTAATATTAACCAGTCAATAAACAATACTAATAAATCTCACGTTTAATAAATACTTTCGTCATTATTATTTGTATAATATTAATCAAATAATAAGAGAAACAATTTTATAACACTAATATAAGGATAGAAATCATTTTTGTAAATTTGAATATACTTGTGATATTTATGGGTGCATTTCGTGGAATCGTATTTTGTTTTCATTGATGTTCCAAGGTAAACAAGTTTGTTATTTCATCAAAGCGAACAATTTAATACTTATAGTATTTTAATATATATTTTTTTTATGGTACTTTAAATTTACAGGATGTCTGTAGACATCTGTGACTCTATATTCTTTTGCCTCGTTTTGTATGATTTTGACTTTACGAATTCTTCGGTCCTCTTTTCCAGTTTACTTTATATGAAAGAATAATTTTGAATGGTTTAGGGAGAAATGAAAGGAGCGTTAAAAATTTTACCAACCGGGACTAAACAGAACCGCCGCGCTGTAAAGCGCCAGCTCCGTTTCCGTGAGCTTCAATTCGGCAATACTCCTGGCCAATTCGAACACGCAAGAAACGAGCTTCATTTCCGCCGTGTCCGTTGTATAAAACGCGTCCTGTGGCAACATAGTGTCGCCGTACAGGACACAATTCTGCTGAAGATCAAGGTACCTGCTCATACGTAGCACAGCCAACTCGAAGGAACCTGTAAACATAGCGAAAAACAATTAATTATTTCGTGGGAACGGGTACAAATTAATTCCTTTAGCTAACCATAATACCAACAACTCTTATCAAATATTTAAACAAAAACTTAATATTGGAAATCAATCTTGTATTAAAATTATTAACATTGGAACCAATCGTAACTAATTTATGTAAATTTACATATTAATACACGTGGGACTTCATTTTTATATATTGTACTCTCACGATTTGCCATATTAGTTAATTTTCTGTAATTTATTTCTGAATAAGTATTCATTTTTTTGGTAGATTCATTTGTTATGCAGTTTATATTTTTTCTTCTTAATTTAAATTATCCTAACTTTATCCTATTAATTTTAATGAAAAGTTTTTTAATATATAATTGTATGAAAAATTGTAAAAAGATAAAGAGGAAACTAAATGAAATCTTAGTTTCGTTTTATTTTGACATCTAGAGCCAGTTCTTTACCTATTGCTGGTCTGCTACAGACAATATATATTCGGTCACCCCTGGCAAGTTTTTTAATAGGAGATTCTAGAGGTCAAAATAAAACGAAAATCAAGAATACCAATTTGTTGATCGAGGCTTCGTTAAAAAGTTATTAACGTTTAAAGTTCCGTCTGTGACATATCGACAGCCATACAGTTTTGTGAGTGAGAACCACTATCACGCGTGCGCAGCTGTTGGCAGATTGCCGTTCTACAAGCGGAACTTTAAACGTTAATAACTTTTTAACAAAGCCTCAATCAACAAATTGTTATTCTTGATTTTCGTCTTATTTTGACCTCTAGAGTCTCCCATTCAAATTTTACCCAGAGGTAGCCAAACACCCTGTATATTGTTATTCTATATTTCGATCTATTCGAGTAATAAAGTTGAATGCAATGCACGAAATATATTTACGTGCATTTATGCTGTAAAACTCGCGCTTTCCAATTTACAGTCTCGTTTCTTCGTAACTTCGTACACACGTTTATTTACCCCGGGCGCGCTTAAACGGTCTTAGAAACTGAAACTCCTAAGGCGAGTTCTCAATGGATAAGTAACATGGAATTACAATTTTATCTGACTGCCTGTCATAATTTGTCCTCCAGATAAGACATGCGACTGCGTGTTTATTCAGCTCGAGCACTATTTACACCCTTTCACACGCGCGCAATTAAAATTTACTTTTGCATAATGCCTGTTTACGAAACTGCGTCGTTATCGCGAACCGTCCCGTCGGTTTATTCAGAACGAGATTCTTTTATTTCGCAGATAACGCAATTTCACGTCCCTTGCACACAATATTCGATTCAAAGTGAAAAATTTAGCGAGAGACGAATACGCACGTCACAATACTTTCCGAAACATATAACGTATAAATATGGCATGAATGTGTAATTTTCAAGATTTCATTTAACTTTCTTTTGTTAGATAAAATAAGTTGATCCAATTTTTTCATGTAAACTGTAATTTTATCTTAATTTAAAAAATTTCTTTCTTCAGTTTTACAAATGAATACTACTTATATCAGAATAAAGATACAAGAATCAATCTAAGATTAATTTAAAATTAGTTAAACACTTTTTTTGTTTAAATTTTAGAAATAAACAATTCTTGTATCAGGAAAAAAAGTTACAAGAATCAACCATCATTATTCATGGACCGATTCTATTCAAACTTTAATCATAGTCTAATATGAAAGCATAAAATTGGAATATAAAGATTCATTGAAATCCATTCAATTGTTTCAACTCAATGGTTATAATAGACACTCCACCCATTCTCCTTTAACGTATATGGTGGTATTATGACATCCCAGGAATTAAATTTTTGTATAATTAATATCGTACTCTATTACTTTAAATATTATCCTAACTTCATACATTATTATTATCCATTTTATGATTGTTATGATATTGGGCAAAAAGAGATACATAAAGAAACAAGGTGGTAGGAAATTTTGCCAGAAATAATTGTGAAAACATCACACCTGTCAGTGTTTTGCTAATGAAAAATAATAATTTATTTTTGTCACAAATAGTAAAAACATTTTAAATATGTATAAATTCAAATCCTTTACTTTCTTACAGGTCAAAAAGTGAAATGGTCATTTTGAACCATTAGAATAAAAAGAAGAAAAGGATGTTCAAATAACAATTATCTATGGAAAAGGGAACGAAGATCAACGAATGGATTCCATAGAAGTATGATAATTCTTCGATATTAAACCGTAGGAATAGTAGAATTGGCAACAAAATCCTCGTCCTTTATTAAATAATACAAGAGTAAATTATAATTGGGCTCGTAACGAAGTTACGTCCGCTCCATGTTCCAATTTCCATCGCAGACTTAGACTCGGATTACCTACCAGCCTTTAATAGAACAATCTGATCGTCCTGGGAGAGCTTCATGAATCCAGGAACCATCTTGGCGAACTCGATGATCTGCTGGATAACGGCGGTTAGTTTTTGGGCGCACTCGAGCCACAGCTGCTCGTGCGCCATGTTCTTGTAGTAGATCAATCTGGAGAGATCGTGCGGCTTCCGGAAAGACTCCTGGATCTCTTCCGTCGACAGCAGATACGTTCTTGCGTATGCATCCGCTATCGTTTTTGAGAGCAGCTCGCTGATCTGTGCAGGATCTACGAAAGCCAATCGAAACGTCCGGTTGAAATTTTGTCCCCCCTCCATTATACAGAAAAGATGTTCAGGCAATACGTACAACTAGTATCTCTACTCTTTGAAACGGCTACGTGTATCATCGTCAACGAATATAACACAGAAAAATTGACAGCTCTTTAAACACATTCTGTATAACGATTGCTTAAAACGATAGTATTAAACACGTAAGCGACAGTGATCGTTAAAAAGAAAGAACGCTGTAGCGGGTTCCTCTCTTGGCGTTCCAATGTATGCGTTTTTTGCTTTAGTTAGAATGCAACGAGTCGGAATGCAAGAGCACGTTCTCCGTGACAAGATTGGGCGCGGTAATCTGGTCGAGCTCGTTATTAACTTCTGCAATTATTACGGTTACTAGAACAATTTCGCTTCGACTTCAGCGAACGCCTAACGATCTTCGGTGCAAGAAATTGGCGCACGGAAATCCAAACCTTCGTATTTGTTTCTTTTTGTTCGCTCCGGTTGCGCTTGACTTTGAAAGTACTGATCAAACTCACTTCGACGCTAAATCATACTGGTTTCTGCTCTTCGGAGTAGAGTAAGGATTTGATTTTATCTAGTGGAATTTAGACACTTCGTACGAACAGGACGTTGAAGAATCTAGGAGCACGTAAAAGTAAAACGAGTAAAATGAAAATTGACTTTGTTCGAAAAATCTGTGTTTTCTGTTCTATCGGTGCATACGACTTATTTTTAAACGCGTGATATGCATTTATAACACAGTGAGGTACTCGATACAGGTCATCTGAATAATTTAGTTTGTTTTTGGCGAGAAACAAAAATGCTTCGGGCAAATATGGCGTATTCTTTTCTGTATAGATGGAGACGTAAAGCAGATATAAATTATGTTTACCTAAATTATACTCGACATTAAATTGGCAAACATTTGCATCAGAACTTTCTCAATTATTATTTTACCGAATTATTAACATTCGAAGAATATAACAATTGCTATTTGCATTCCAAACATTACTTTTTACTTTACATGCAAGTTAAAACATACTTTCAAATATATTTTCTCGAATATCTACGTTGTAATTTAATATTGTAATATATCGTACTTTATGGTTCATATTTTGGTATTTTCACGTAAAATACAAATATCAATTTTCATGTATAAAATATCCTTTAAAATTTTGTATCGAAGTTAATGATTTTTAAATTTGTGAATTTAACATGAATGCATCTTTTTTTATTACTGTTCCCATCATATTATTCGTCCGTAATTGGATCTTTATGATTCCTTTGGATCTACAGAATACTTGATTACATACTTGCGTATTTTTCTGTTCGACTGATTGTGAGCAACTGAGTGCTAAGATGTAGAATAGCATATTGTAATAATTTGAAACTGCTAGGTGCAAACATATTGCTACGACATTCCATGTAAACATTGTTTTTACGAACTGGTGCAAAACCGAGTCAATTTATTTTTTTTTTCATTGCCAAACGAGAAGACATTAATTACTGAAAAAGTTTCTTATGTTACCTTTAACTGTGATAAAGATAACTACAATGTTCGTTTTTTAATATTCTCCTATATTCTTAGCAGTAAATAACGATCTATACAAAACTTGTGATTACTGGTTCAGTTATGCTCCTTACTGTATATCGTTGATGTCTTCTTCACGAGCGATACTTACCATGTATTTGAAATTAATATTAAATTAATAAAACATATTTGCAATATTTCCATATTTTCGAAGCCAATATATGGGAAACATTGCAGTTTATGAATCCAAAGAGATTCCAAAAGTCGTACCAATATTTAAACTCATAGATCGACCAAAAAATTTACAACAATTATAACTAATTATACCTAATACTCTAACTCTTACAGTTTCGAAAACACTCGACCTACAATAATTACCGAAGCCATGTTCGATCTATCCAGCACGGTATAGATTTTATACGTATAAAAAATGCCAGTACGCGGTGCCCTTTCAATCCCCGAAACCTCCCGACCGTTCCACCCACGCCACCCCTAGAGGCCTACGCCCCCGGTTATCTCTGTCCTCGGAAAACGTGCTCTCCCACCGTCAATGATGAAAAAAAAACAACAGAGCATCGACAACACTGAACTCCATACACGACGCAGGAGGGTAAAAAAAAAAGAAAAACAAAAAAAGAGTGAAAAAAGCGCGCTGCATGCCCATGCAAAGGGACACAAACGTAACCTCACATCTCGCATGGGACATACTGGGCAGACTCGGCACTTCGTCGTCCTCGGATGGATTGCTGACCCTCTGTTGCTGACTGCTCAGAAAGGTCGTTGAGTCGACCATCGTGTACGAGCCGTGGCCCAGGCTGGCAAGTTCGACGGTGGTCTCTTGCTTCACAGCAACGATTCCACCCCCGCTCAGAGAACCGGCACCGCCGCCCCCGCCGCCGGTGGTGGCCGCACCACCGGCGGTGCCAGAACCGCTCCCTCCACCACCCGAGCCACCACCACCGGATCCACCACCGTTACCACCGCCACCACCGCCTCCGCTACTACCTCCACCACTACCCCCCGTACTGCTTCCGGTCGTCGATGCAGACAGCGACTTTCCTGGTACGCGAAAAGTCAGAGTTCACTCGGGTCCGTTCGTTTCTTTTCGTTTTTGTTAGTTTTCTCTCGCCTATCTTCGCGCTCTCCGCGTCTTCACGCGGGGCGACTTCGAGTTCTGGTCGAAAACGGGGCTGGGTTCTGTTCGCACGGAAGATCGATTCGATGGGACTCTGTTCGAGGACGTTGGGTCTTCGTTGGGGATTCGGACTCTATTCTTGCGATTCATAGGGATGGGATCAAGCAACTTGCGACTAGTTTCGAACTGAACATTAGAGATCTCGATTTCACGTGGAAATGATACACAGGGTGTTGCTTTTGTCAATTACCACATGTTTCGTTCATTGAGCAGAACATTTCTTTTATAATATTTTATAGTTCTCTTAGAAAAGTCAAACTTGATTCCGATCATCATACTTTAGCACAAAACAATTCATGGAACCAAGCAACTTGCGACTAGCTTCAGACTGTACATTAGAGATCTCGATTTCACGTGTAAATGATACAGAGGGTGTTGCTTTTGTCAAATACAACATAGTTCGTTTACAGAACATTTCTTTCATAATATTTTATAGTTCTTTTAGAAAAGTCAAACTTGATTCTGATCATCATAGTTTAGCATAAAATAATTCAGAAGTTGAAGACTGAAATGAAATAAGCAAGAATATAAAAGGAATCGAGGGATGAACACTCACTGACATTAGAAATATTTTTATTAACAATTTTTTAAGTATTCGTAGTCATATTTCTGCTTCTCTTTAATAGTTCTTCTGCAAAAGTCAAACGTGACTCTGACCATCACAATTTACCACAAAACCAACACTATACTAAAGACATGCTTCAAAAGTCGAAGACTGAGATGAAATAAGCAAGAATATAAAAGGAATCGAGAGATGAATGCTCACTGACATTAGAAATATTTTTATTAACAATTTCTGAAACATTCTGTAACATCGTAATAAATAACTAGGTACCAATACATATGCAGAAGAAAGTTTAATTTCACGCATTTAAATATACTGTTTATCAGTTAAAGCGATACGAGGCTTGTAAATTAATAAATCGTTTTTGTTATTCGCGTTTACGGTATTTTGCTATAAGTATTCCATTATCTAAAAATGTCCTCAACTCTCTGCAGCGTGGATGACCGCCTAGAAAATATCCATCCAAGTGGTTAGCAATAGTTACCACTTGTTTCACTACATTCATGGCGATTATCCAAATCAATTATTGTTTATTGTTTAAATCATTTGTTTTCCAGTTCTCCAATGCACGAAAAGTACTAAAATTCACGTACTGGAGAAAGCTATCCGAGCAGTCTCGTCTCTCTATTCCTATCTCTTGACTCGTTTCCGAATAATGGATTCTTATCTTCTATTTGGGAACGGATTAGACGGAAAGATTTAAACTAATTTACAAGTGCAAACATTAAAATAAAATTATGCAGAGTGTAAAGTATTACTTCTTACGAGTAGTATGCAAATAGAGTGAAACTCGAGTATCAGAACCGACATACTGAGCTTGATCCCATCCCTAGTGGTAGACACTTAGCGGGCGATGAAGCAATAGTCGATATGAGGGAGTTATGGAAAATTAGAGGACTGTCTTGTGTCAATGATGTAATAGGTTAATGAGCCTGAATGATCATCGTTGGCGATAGAGGAACTCGACTTCGCACGAATCGAAGTTCATTCTTCAGATGTTACTCGTATCGCGAATCAACGGAGACTGGTTCGAATGGATCCAACGATTATCCACAATTTGATTTTCGTTAATACACGTTAATTCGCGATTTTTTAAACAATGTAACGGGAGTATGTCCCAATAAGGATGGTAGCGTATTGAGATATTTACGTAATGTTCTTCACTTAAAGAGACGTTTGTCACAACATCAGCTCGCTCCTCAAACGGCAATTCAATCGTATCTTTATGACTGTTAATGTTACTTCAGGCTACAGTATCAATATCATTCACCGAATGCACCGTGCAGTCAACTGGCAGTGATAAACACAGTAATTGTATCAGCCGCGTGGCACTGAAAGGGACCAGTACTACTTGGCGCTGGTTGTTCATCGATTGACATCTTGTTACCGCTCCTTCGCTAACAATAAACTTTAATGGAACTATAAACTCCTCGAGTTGGCACAGCTTCAGTTTCGCCCTGGCAACCGTGTAATTTCATATTCCATTCGATCGAAATTGAAAATATACGTGGCAAGTTTTTTTTATGTTTGTCGCAGCTTGAGCACACTTTAAACGCGTAAAACATTTTGTAAACATTCACTGAGATAAAAAAACACAATGTCACGCGTCACCGTAACTCTAAAAATATTTCTTTTTGCAATATCCAAGAAGAATATTCAGTCAAAATGTATAAAGTATGAATCGACTACTTGAATTTTCATTGTTACGATTACCATCCTCACTGTCACATTTTCGTCTCTGCTTCGAAATTGTTAGTACGTTGTCTGTGTTCTGAGAAACGGATGAAATTACGAGCGACAAGAGAATATTCGATTCTCTACGCTCGTGGAACCTGACAAAGCAGAAAAGAATTCTCGCCGAGAGAACGGGTTAACACAAAGCAGGTGGTACACGAAAATTAAATCGGCAATGGTACGAGAAATCTAAACGCCCGGTAGTCTAACGACTCTAAAACATATATCAATTTTCCTACCCTCTGACTGTTTAAATTCTCTCTGTGTGTTCGGATACGATAATACTGATATTTATTTTTCTATATCGTACCACTGGACGTTTCAATCTCTCGTGGTATAGTAATAGACGTGAGTCGATTTCACCGGAAATAAAATAAAATTAACGTGTTCTTTCACCGGAGGGATAGGAGGGGAAGGGACCCGAAAGCCACCCCGGTGCTTGGTTACTATTTTTCATATTCCTTTTATTAATGGAAAAGGTTCTTCGATGGGTGTACTCACCGGTGGTGACCACGCTGGGAAGTACCCCAGTCGCGGTGACAGCGGAGGGCGTATCAGGGGCGACAGTGTCCGCAACCTGCGTCTGCGTCGGTCGCGGGTCATAGGTCGTCGTGCTGTCGACGTAATCGGCGCTAAGCTCGTAGTTCGTCATCGCCTGATGATTGTAATAACCCGATCCGCCAGTTCCGGGACCGGGAGAAGCGTATTCACTACCGCCATATGTGTACCTAAGCGAAGAAATCGAAACGAGGTTACAACTATGCAATCGATAACGAGTTCGATTCTTCGAACGCAGTTTTTATGTTCTCAATTATTATTTTGAAAATTCTGTGGAAAATTGCATTTCTCGGCACGTACGAGGGAAGTTTGGTCGATTTTCTGGAAATTTTCACGATCGTGTAATTATAAAAATATAAAACGGTTGAATTTATCGCTTATTTTGTGTTGTATCAATGAACATTGTACTCATATGGAAAACAACAAATATTAAAAATATTTAGTAACGTAGACTTCGGTATGAAACATATTATATTTGAATGCAATGATTTTCATCATAGCAGAGGAAAACACAAATCAGAAATGAAACTTACCAGTTTTTTAAAGGACATTAATATATATAACATGATCTAAAATAAGAATATGTAAGTTATTGATGGTTGCTCATGACCTCAGGTGTTAATGCGACCTTATATAAATAAAAATAAAAAAAAAATATTAAAGATGATAGGTCTAGACAACATTTCGTGCCAAAGCTTAACCCCTTAACGCTCATATTTTTCGGGTTAACCAACAATGATCAGTTTTCTTTATCGGATTTGTTTCTAAAAATTCGGTTTTTGTTAATTACAATGTTGTATCTAACGTATAATTTGAGGGAAACAAAATATTTTCATCCCTTAAACCGTTGGATTAAACAAATATTGTTTTCCAAAGCAGTCAGACTCGGGCATGAACATTAAGGGGTTAATAAATATAGAAAATGATGAATTGTAAAAATTAATATTTTCCTTATTGTACTGTTGTTACTTATATATACGTTATAGTAATTTTAAATTGCGAATATGGGACGTGAGAAAAATAGTACATACGTGCAGACGTTCTTTACAAGACTAATAAAATTTACAGCAGTCAGTGTATTTCAAACTAGTTCACCATTCATTTTCACGGAAAGGAATACAAAGCACAGCGTAATATTTAACTGCGAAAATTATTATTTATGACTTGTGGCGAATAAGAATATGAAACTTTTATGTTCGCAACGTCGACGAATAAATCTTCGTTCCAGATTTCCCCCACAACCGAAAAGAATTTATCTTTTTTTCCTTGCTACATTGCCTTCAATTGTTTATTATTTCGCCTTATACGCAGTTTTTTGCGTTAATTATCGTGGAAAATAATAAACACACGCTAGGTCGAGATTAGTTTTAAAAGTAGACCATAACACAATGGTAGAAATAATTATTTTAAAATTGTATGGAAATTTTTGTTGCATTGTATTTTGTATGTACTGATTTTTCCTTTTGAATTTGTTTTTATAATATTAGTACTTTCACAAAATTTATTCGAAATTAAATATTTTCAACCCCAATATTGAATTAAAGATAGATTTAAATATTTTTTACTATAACTAATTAGCAATCTTAATACCTAAAGGATTATTGAAGTTTTGGTTTTCATTAATATTGCAAAGTTATAGGGTATACGTGTACTTTTATAACTGTAAATTACTATTAAGTATTAAACGCTAAAAGTTTTAGAATTGATAGCAGTTTGATGATAAAATTTGGTACTTAATGATTTGATACTTATTTCTGGCCTTCGTTAGGTTTTTTATATGATTTGAATAAATTAAAGAATAAAGTATCTTTCTATGAAATTTCAGGTAATTTTTATGAACATAAACTTTTTTATACATTTATCACAGTCTATAGTTTTACTGTAACATGTAACGGCGTTAAAAATTTATTGTTCCCTTAGTCTAATGCAATTCAAAATAAGCTTATCTAACAAGTAATGAATTTGATAAAGCATTTAGTATTTTTTGAATGTACCATTAGCAGTTCATATTATCTTTATGACTAACAAGTCGACTGATACTTAAATCAACAAATGTTGAAAAATACATTTTGGACAATATGTAACAGTGAACAATTCTCGATTTTTGTCTATAGAAATCACTTTCAGTAACAATTCTTTCTTCGTGTAATAGCAAAATGAAAAATTGTCGTTCCACAAATGACGTCACACATTGTATTACACTTTTCAAAATAATTAAGGGTTCACCTATTCGATTTTATCTCTAAAGCAGATACACAATACTTCTAAAACACTGACAGTATCTCCAGTTTAGACATTTTTTGGTTTTTGACATTCCTCACAGTTGATATATTCTTAAAAATTGTTCAAAAGCGCATTAATTAGTATAATAATGAATATAAGAAGTAGGAATGTGAGAGCTGCTAATGTGTTGTACATAAATTCAGCCAAAAATAAGATTCGTTTGGAAAACATATATCTATAAAAATTTTTTACCTCATAATTGTCAATACTTAATAAGCAAATAGAATAATTTTATTTCTATTATTGACAATTTTGTTTTCTTTGATTATGCTACCTCTTTTATACCTTAATGTTCACGTAATTTAATTTATTTCAAATTCTTCTTGCTCTATACATATTTACAACCTGTTTGTTTTCATTCTTTTTAATTCTTTCCAGCATAGTGACTACACCAGAAAAAATGTGCACTCAGATACAGCAGTGGCTATTTGCTAGAATGATTTGCACATTACGTTTGCAACACCTTGCAAGAATACCACATATTTATGATGGTAGACATAACTAGTCCGATTTTTTCAAATTCTAAAAATATAAAGCTTTAAAAAAAGGATCTTAAATCAACACAAGTGTGTGTTCTACTGGAGAATATAAATAAATGTGTTTCATGTTTTTATTTTGTTTCATCCCCTCTCTCCAACCCATGTATATAAAGAGTTAAGTTATAAAAATAAACTGTAGGGTTGAGGTATAAATACATGTTCTGGAAACGAAGCTTTTCTATGATTACCTTTATCAGTATTAGTCAATTATAAGAGAAATTAAATGTATATACTAATAAGGGTTGACTGAATAAAGATTAAAGAAAGGATCAATTCACCGATAAAATATCTTTTCTTCCTACGGTAAAATCAGAGATATACAAAATTATATTCTAATAGATAAACAATAATATTAACGTATAGCAATTTAGGTATACGTGACGTTTATGCGACCGAACAGTTAAACATGTGTCTAATCGATGTTGTTGATTACGTATGCCTAATTGTTTCCACATACTAGAATAGTTGTCAGCCTCAATTACTGTACTCATTCAGCAACGCCTAGGCTCTATGCGTGAGACACCTTTAGAAAATATACAAAACACTGAATATGTAATTATTTTTAAATACAGTAAGAGTAATCCCATATAAAATGTTTTAAAAATAATTACTTATGGACAGAAAGAAAGTGTGAATAGTATAGAACTTATTTATACTTGTGATAGTGTATTATAATTCTTGTTCGTATTAGACACTATAAGAAAACTTCTTATCGTGAAACGTTAATAAAGTTGTTACTTGAAACATTTGAAAATTCTAATCTAAATTACAAATTTTAATATTTATTTAATACGTAACGTATAAACTGTTGTCTTTTATTACTCGAAAGTATCTAGATCAGAATTTTCTTCATCCATAGGATAAAACGTGCAGCAACGAATGAAGCAACGCGTCAAGGGTCGTAAAAAGACACAGTCGAACGTGTTAACGTTAAAAGATGGCGAATGTCGGAACGAACGAGGGTGGTTTCAATCACTTACCCGCCGTTGTAGGGGTGGTGTTGATCCGAACTGCTCGGGGTCTGATGTTCAAATACACTGCTATCGGGCGCCGTCTCAGAGGCCGCTCTCATTTGTGCCCTGTGGAACCTAACTTCGTCCTCGACCTTCTCCCTCTGCTTCTTCGACATGCGTCCGAATTTAACGGCTGCAAAATAAATCGCATCGTTCAATGAAACGCTCGCCAATTATCGTCGTTTCGATGCACGTGTCGTCGAAATTTCTCTAATCTAATCGCGTTCGAGTAATCACGTTGCCACAAAACATTCATTCGATAATAGTCGTCGAGTGTCTTCCGCTCAATTAGACGCTCGCCCCTTGCCCCTAATTAATTATCTCCAATCGAAATTTCGCTAATCTGCAATTACCGAGGTACCCGATTAATTAACCGTGGTCAATGACGCGGATTACCTCGCGAAATATTATCTATCTACATGTTCACTGACTCCATCTAGTCTCGAGTTATACGGTTTGGTATTGTGTATACACGAGAAGTTGGCTAGCGAAAGGAATGCGGGCCTGATTGGTTCTGCACTCTAGAGTTTGGCGAGCCCACGGTCGCTATTGGCCGAGCCGACGATGAGTCGTGTGACAAAAGTGCCCCCTAGCCAACTTCTCACGGACGTACAGTACAACTCCTGGCAGAAAGATACAATTTTACGAAAAACTACCGTGTTTTAGGATTTTTAAATGTTATTGCATATAATTAAAGTCGATTCATTTATCTTAGAAGACAATAGGAAAATAAAAATGGAAAAATTTTTCAGATTAGTAAAAGCCTTGGAAATAAGTTTCCCTATAATATTACCCCGCGTTTATTAAATTTGTACAAAAAAAAAAATATTTGAATGGACAGAGTTCGTAAGAATTACTAAGAAGTTCATTTGGAAGCGTTAGTTTCCCCAGATCGGTTCTATCTGTGACATCCTTCCGTAGAGTCGCCGTTTTATAACCGGCCTTTATATCGTAAAAATCAAATTACTCTTATCCCAAAACAGAAATTTCTTTAAAATTGACATTCCCCTTTTCCCCCCGGTGGACTATCGCAATGTTTCCGTGTAGACAAAGATCGCCATATGCATCGTCGGATGAACCGATGGTTGTATCCGGGTCAAACGACGCGAGGGGAACGAGTATCGATCTGATAAACTTCGGGAGGAGCGAGTCTAATGAAGATCGAAGCACGAGCGTCCTCGTCTCTCGTTTTAAGTGGCTCGTCGACGCGCCAAAGAAATGTTCTGATTCGAAGAACGCGGAAGTTCTTTGCATCTCGGGCCTCGTCGTCGTTATCGCCACGGCTCGGATGCACCCACCCATCCCCGATTACGTCACTGCGCCGCGAACACACGCGCGCGCAATATACTACGTCACGCGAGGAGCGTTCAACAACCGCTAGAACCTGAATCGTTCGTCTTCCTTTTTCCCCGACGTGTTCTCCAGTTTCTCAAGTTCACTCGCGAGTTCAGACGCGACGCGCCTCCCTCGACGAAACTTCTGATTGTTCCAAAAAATCTCTCCCTCGCTCCCCTCACCCCAAGAACTTCGACCCCTCGCGATCAGAATAATTCTGATCCGAATTTAATAATCAGAGCACAGTGATTCTGACGATTAATTATTTCGACATTTTGGAACTTGGCTAGCCCCCATCAGTTTCTTAGAACTGGCGTCCAGTAATGATTTTTAAAATGAATATTGGTGTTGGTATATTCATCTTTCGTAGAGCAGAGAGAACATTCGAGGATTGCGATATGAATGATCAATTTACGAATCACGTCAGGGTTAGATCTGGGTTAGGTTATTTGGTTACAATATTTTGGAACTTGGCCTGTTGCTAACCCTCACCAGTTTCTTAGAACTGACGCCTAGTAATGATTTTTAAAATGAATATCGCTTTGGTGTTGGTATGTTCATCTTTCATAGAGCAAACAGAACACATTCGGGGATTCAAGGAGAATCGCCCCAAGATAGGAAGGATAGAAATGTTTAATTTACGAATCACGTCCGGTGTTCATGTTAAGAGTCATTACTGTATGCATATCTTTCTAAATCTGCTGTGAAGTATCGGTGTATTATACATTTCTATCTCACTCGCACTTTCTGAAGAAAAGGGACAAACGGGATCTCCAGGAAGATGTACCTCCCTTCAACTTTGACCAATTTTGCTTCCAAACGTCAGCCAATATCCGAGAAACTGTAATTTATTACCGTCGACGTACTTTCAGGACGCTTCGAAGGCAAATAACCGTCTGCTGCTTTGCTTTAGAAAGGTTCCTGTCCCTTGTTAACGCTAATGACCCACTGAGAACTCTGCAAAGATTTGTTTCTTCGCACGTTTGTTTGCATACATATTTGTTGGATACCCATTGATTTAGTCTATCATCCTTAGTCATAGACATCGACATTTTCAACTAACACTTTTAGTCGCTAAGAAAGTTTATCCTACCCCTTCTTCAATTCTTTCTACGAATCTTCCTAAGAGGAATTCCATTATAAATGGAATTAATTCGAAAGCTAAAGCAAACTTTTTGGTACAATCTCACTACGTACACTCGAATAAATCACTATTAAGTGTTGAACTTAATTCCATAACCCAAAATCCAACAGAAAACATGGTGTCATAAGTGGGATCTGTAGCTCATCGATCTCGTCGAACTCCTGTTTGAAGAAACATTCAGCACGAGCTGTGAACGACAACTTCAGTTGTCAATTGGATCATCTATGAAAAACCTACAGAAAAGGGAACACATTCAAAGAGGCTACTGTGGTGAGTGTTGTCCACGATTATTCTCATAATTTGACTAGATCTTCCTATATTTTTTCCTTCCAAGATCCTGAAAGCTTCCTTTGTACTCGTATTTCCACTTCTTCAAATTTAACGATGTCCACAAAGTACTGACACACATGATGCTCCGCAATTTTCATTAAAATTTTTAATTAAATTGCTACCTGATTCTTTTGAAGATGGCAGGTGTAAGTTACGTAATTTTGTCAAGCAGGTTGACGCTGTGTTTGAATTAGCTACATCATGTCAATTACCGCCATTATTATTATACGTAAAATCTAGAATTACGGAAATTTTGTAATTTAACTACGTGGAACGAAATTTTCGAATTATTAATTACGTTGTATCAAGATATAGAAGATGTAATTGAAAGATATGGCCTTTGAGGAAACATTCTTCACGTCCAGGAGATCAAATTATCTTTGTTGGAATAACATTCCTTGTCGAAGCTCTATTTTTTACAATCTGTTTATGTTATATTTGTTCCAAAGATGGTCATTTTGAACATTTCTTGTTAGATACATGTTTCGGAAAACTGTAGACTCTTTATTCTTACGTATGCTTTCACACATTTCTTAACATGCAATACAATAATACCTTGGTTCTCGCATTAATTTATGTTAGGTATACAATAGAACCTCGATTATTGCATTGTGTCGACATTGGAGGGAATAGTGGTTGAGCAACAAGTAAGGCTGGTGACACTATGCACGAACCATAAGTAGCGGGGATACGCCGTACGAGGCTACTTCTCGTTACCTTGGTTATTGCAGGAATTTTCAGCCCTGATTTTCTGCAATAATCGAGGTTGCATTGTGCTTGCGCCAGAATCTTCCCTGCCATTTATGTTTCTTCAGTTCGAGCAACCGTCGACTCGAATGGCCGGCAGCTGTGTAATTAAAAACTCATTCGACCTATTCCGGAGAACAAAGTCTTGCCCAATCTCTCCAAATGAAATCTGACGGTCCCAATTTGATTGCAAGAAGAGAGGCAGTACCGTATCTATTTCTGAAGGTTTCAGTAACCAAGAACAGCAACTTAACGATTAATACTTTCTTGAATTATTTATGGTTTTTGAATATTCTACAGTGTTTCCCAAATAACTTCATAGAGAAAGATTTTTTAATCTATGGTCGTATATGTTTTTATTTTTTAGGTGTAAGAAACAGTTATTATGAAAGTATAAATTGCAAATGGTGGTTTATCTCTAGAACATCGATATAAGTGCACCTCAATTAACAATTGCAATCCTTTACTATTTTCTTTGCAGGGCCATCTGTGCTCCATTTGCATTTGTTTTTAATTTACTTAAAAATTGATTAGTACAAATCCAAAATTAGTCGTTTCCAAATCATCTCAAAACGATATGCAAAGTGCATGGAATTACACTTTACTAAATTTACTTGCAAATTTATTTCATTGAATAATTTCTACTAAAATTATGTTTAAAATAAGTTTGTCTTTAAGACAACAAATTTCATTTTTCAACCTACCAGTTTCAATACTGATGTTCCAATTGACCTTACAAGTCATTGAACTCTAAATTCACATGTAGACGATAATCCTTTCCTGAAATATAAGACTCAGGCTTAGAGAAAAGGAATCCATGAACGAGCCGAATAGCTTAAGGATCTACAAGCTATTCGTAGATCCTTAAGCTATTCGGGTCGTTCATGGATTCCTTTTCAAATCCCGGTCCAGTAATCCTATTGGATAACACTGTAGAAACAACCTTTGCACAGTTTTATCTTGGATCATTCGACTCTCGATCGAATTACTATGTAGACGTCAGCCATTTTTCAAAAATCAGTTTTAGAATCGGTTTAAGAGAGAAGAATCTATCGACGCTCTACAGAATTAAAAAATCTGGATTTAAATCTCGATTGAACAACTTCATTAGCCTTTTCAATACAACTTTTTAGCGTCAACGTATCATAAAACTATTTTGGACGTAGATAGCTCCAATTATTTTAATTTTCTCAATTCTCAAATTTATCAAAAAGTAAAGAAAGGCCAAATATAATTTATAATGAAGAAATATATGTCCCCAAATGTTTTTATCCTTGAATTGCTTGTATTTAAATTTTGTAAATCCTTTACTTTCAATTTTCATAGAGTATTTCGAAGACGAAAATATTGCATTTCGAAAGGTTTATGACTGGGTCAAGGACCTGAATAGTTCCTCGACATAAACGATGGATCTTCATGGTTAAAGTAGGTTAGTGACTTGCAATCACATAGTTATCGAGTGTTCCATGACACTGTTTATAAAAGGTAAGAGTAGAGGAGGATAGGTGGTTCCCGACATCGTACTGCTAAAGAATAGAGACTTTCTTCTAAAAGAATTTAGCCACAAAGCGAGGAAT